CATGGATGTCTCTTATTTACTAGCTTGTCATCTTATTTTGTAGCATGTGATTTCTTCTACAACTATCGCCGACGGTTTGCTGCGTGCATTCAAGAGAAAGTATGAGAATGTGGAATAAGAATATCTGAGGAAGTGCCGCGAGCGGGCTACCCAACACCATGTTGGTGAGGTACGATTTTTCCGTGCTCAGACCGGCTATCAGGTGTTTACTCACCTGCCTCTTGAGTCGCCCTCAAGTAAAAAGTAAAGAAGAATCTACTTCAAAGGTAATGGTGAAAATCAAGCAAACCTGAAGAACTGCTCCACTGCCTGCATAAAATAATAAGATACAAAATGGAAATACATAAATGTAATTGATAATTGTTCGGTTCCATGTAAGTGCTTGGTCTCCAGAACGGATTGGTATTCTGGAAGAGAATAGACATAGTGTAGATATCTTGTGCACGAAAAACCATGAAAACAAAAAAAAATACTCTTTTGTAATGCATATATATAAAAGGGTGAACTTGCTAGAAGTTGGACCCTTTAACAAAATCGATCAAACCCGTGACCTTGAGCTTGTGATGACCGCGTTTCACAACTAGGTGCGTAACCAAGGGTGCATAATTGTACTCCACAAAACGGAAAAGAATATACGGTTAAGAAGCAAAAAAAATGTGTAGAGTATGCGGATCAAGTACAGTTGTGTCAAATACCCTTTTCTTGTTTGATTTAGGTATGCATGATATATTGAAGCAATATATCGTCAATTCATCCAAGTAACGAATTGGTTTGCACCTCAGAAGTGTAATTGATGATGTTTCTCGACTAATCTCAGTTTTATTTTGAGGGATGATGCTAAGAGCAGCGCCAGTATCCACCAAGAAATTCAAGCCCGAGTTTCTGTCTCTAACATAAAACAAGCGACTGTTTAGGCGCCCCTCCTCAGTCGTCGCGACCTGGGGAGGGGTTACTCGTTTCCCGCTGACTTAGAATTATGCTTCGGCCAGGCGCATGGTTGCATGCACTTGGTTGAGTTGACACCAAACTTCCAGTGGTACCAACAAAACTGCCCAGATTGTCTGGACATTTGTGACCTGTTTTGTGACTTGGATCGTGGTCGTTGTGGTGACCTGCTCCTGTTTCTATGACCCATTTGCATTCTGGTGACAGCCTCAGTGAGACTCTTAACACTCGCAATGAGTCCTTCTATTACGGGGTCTTTTGCTGATTCTACTTTTTGTGTGTGATTTATTATGCCTGATCCAGTTGGAGGACCTCTTTCCATTATTCTGTCGGCTATACGCGCTAATTGAGATAATGAGGTTTCAGGATCCTGTGCATCCAAACAGTGTTGGACGTAGCATGGGAGAGCTTGTATCCATCCTTGTTTTAGGACTGCTTCACCCACTGTGTTATCACCCACTAAGACTTGGAGGTGACGTAAAAACTGTGACGGCGACCGATCACCTAGTGTTTCACCTTGAAAAAGTCTTTGGATTCTTTGACTATCTGATAATGATAAACGGTTCATTATCTCTCGTCTTAAGATGGTGTATGGTTGTGGTGATGGTGGACTCAAAATCAAGTCACGGACTTCTTTGGCGACTGAAGGAGGAAGGATAGAACACAAGTCTCTATAGCGAATCCCTTCAGATTTGATATTATGTCTCGTGAAATAATGCTCTAGTTGAGCAAACCACAACTCAGGATCACTACGATCAAATTCTGGAAGTCGGGATTTCGTAGTCATAACAGTGTCTATCTCCACTGGTGACAAATCCTCCAGATTATGGGTTTCTATTGAGTCTGACATGAGGTATGTGACAAATATAGCAATAAAGTTAGCACAAAAAGTGGTTATTATAACACGAATAACTTAAGATAATACGGAATAAACTAGTTATATACTCAAATTAGTTTACGGATAATCAGGTCTACTTTTACGATTAAGTAAAAAAAATATTAATAACAGAAATGAGGTTAAATTTGTGTTCAAAAAGGGCTCACCAGTTTCGTGCCTTAAAGTAGCCCTCGTGCTATTGATAGAAGAAATCAGAGAAGTAGTGAATAGGTCTTTATTTCGATCTTAGCGCGGTGACAGTGGAGCGTCCGATTACCTGTTCAGACAAACAAAGGCTCTCAACATTCAATATAAGATAATAGGGAATATAACGCTTATACAAAACAAGGAAGTGAATGAATACTTGAACAGTACTGTTTTGGCATATGCTTGGTTGTTTGGGGTCAACTCTTAACCAACCAACCTAGGCTGTTACATTAGCTTCCCCCTAGAATCGACTTCCGTAGGAACGTCGGTTCGATTAACCTAACTATCGAAAACACCTTGGTTCTGTTTCTCATCCCCAGGGAAAATTATCAACTCGCTCACTGTTTGACTTACAATCAGTGACGACTAACACTGTCAACGATGGTCCATGGATGTCTCTTATTTACTAGCTTGTCATCTTATTTTGTAGCATGTGATTTCTTCTACAACTATCGCCGACGGTTTGCTGCGTGCATTCAAGAGAAAGTATGAGAATGTGGAATAAGAATATCTGAGGAAGTGCCGCGAGCGGGCTACCCAACACCATGTTGGTGAGGTACGATTTTTCCGTGCTCAGACCGGCTATCAGGTGTTTACTCACCTGCCTCTTGAGTCGCCCTCAAGTAAAAAGTAAAGAAGAATCTACTTCAAAGGTAATGGTGAAAATCAAGCAAACCTGAAGAACTGCTCCACTGCCTGCATAAAATAATAAGATACAAAATGGAAATACATAAATGTAATTGATAATTGTTCGGTTCCATGTAAGTGCTTGGTCTCCAGAACGGATTGGTATTCTGGAAGAGAATAGACATAGTGTAGATATCTTGTGCACGAAAAACCATGAAAACAAAAAAAAATACTCTTTTGTAATGCATATATATAAAAGGGTGAACTTGCTAGAAGTTGGACCCTTTAACAAAATCGATCAAACCCGTGACCTTGAGCTTGTGATGACCGCGTTTCACAACTAGGTGCGTAACCAAGGGTGCATAATTGTACTCCACAAAACGGAAAAGAATATACGGTTAAGAAGCAAAAAAAATGTGTAGAGTATGCGGATCAAGTACAGTTGTGTCAAATACCCTTTTCTTGTTTGATTTAGGTATGCATGATATATTGAAGCAATATATCGTCAATTCATCCAAGTAACGAATTGGTTTGCACCTCAGAAGTGTAATTGATGATGTTTCTCGACTAATCTCAGTTTTATTTTGAGGGATGATGCTAAGAGCAGCGCCAGTATCCACCAAGAAATTCAAGCCCGAGTTTCTGTCTCTAACATAAAACAAGCGACTGTTTAGGCGCCCCTCCTCAGTCGTCGCGACCTGGGGAGGGGTTACTCGTTTCCCGCTGACTTAGAATTATGCTTCGGCCAGGCGCATGGTTGCATGCACTTGGTTGAGTTGACACCAAACTTCCAGTGGTACCAACAAAACTGCCCAGATTGTCTGGACATTTGTGACCTGTTTTGTGACTTGGATCGTGGTCGTTGTGGTGACCTGCTCCTGTTTCTATGACCCATTTGCATTCTGGTGACAGCCTCAGTGAGACTCTTAACACTCGCAATGAGTCCTTCTATTACGGGGTCTTTTGCTGATTCTACTTTTTGTGTGTGATTTATTATGCCTGATCCAGTTGGAGGACCTCTTTCCATTATTCTGTCGGCTATACGCGCTAATTGAGATAATGAGGTTTCAGGATCCTGTGCATCCAAACAGTGTTGGACGTAGCATGGGAGAGCTTGTATCCATCCTTGTTTTAGGACTGCTTCACCCACTGTGTTATCACCCACTAAGACTTGGAGGTGACGTAAAAACTGTGACGGCGACCGATCACCTAGTGTTTCACCTTGAAAAAGTCTTTGGATTCTTTGACTATCTGATAATGATAAACGGTTCATTATCTCTCGTCTTAAGATGGTGTATGGTTGTGGTGATGGTGGACTCAAAATCAAGTCACGGACTTCTTTGGCGACTGAAGGAGGAAGGATAGAACACAAGTCTCTATAGCGAATCCCTTCAGATTTGATATTATGTCTCGTGAAATAATGCTCTAGTTGAGCAAACCACAACTCAGGATCACTACGATCAAATTCTGGAAGTCGGGATTTCGTAGTCATAACAGTGTCTATCTCCACTGGTGACAAATCCTCCAGATTATGGGTTTCTATTGAGTCTGACATGAGGTATGTGACAAATATAGCAATAAAGTTAGCACAAAAAGTGGTTATTATAACACGAATAACTTAAGATAATACGGAATAAACTAGTTATATACTCAAATTAGTTTACGGATAATCAGGTCTACTTTTACGATTAAGTAAAAAAAATATTAATAACAGAAATGAGGTTAAATTTGTGTTCAAAAAGGGCTCACCAGTTTCGTGCCTTAAAGTAGCCCTCGTGCTATTGATAGAAGAAATCAGAAAAGTAGTGAATAGGTCTTTATTTCGATCTTAGCGCGGTGACAGTGGAGCGTCCGATTACCTGTTCAGACAAACAAAGGCTCTCAACATTCAATATAAGATAATAGGGAATATAACGCTTATACAAAACAAGGAAGTGAATGAATACTTGAACAGTACTGTTTTGGCATATGCTTGGTTGTTTGGGGTCAACTCTTAACCAACCAACCTAGGCTGTTACACAGACACGGGTGGCAGTGCGATGACGCTAGACAAAATCTTTAACTCTGAATTTTACGAACTTTTAGAAAGTCTAGACTAGTGTAAAAGTGGAGGTTGGGAACCAGATAAATAAAGACGTTTTGAAGAGATGATTGTTGTTATTTTTTCTGCTGTCGAATTTTAGAAAATACGAAAATTAAGCTTTCAAACCTTAACGAAGTAAGAAAAACCTGTAGTGCTACTGACGGCCGACATATGTATCCATTGCAAAGAAAACAAATATTCACAAAAATAACAATGATAATCATAGTCAGGGGGGATATTGTACAGGGGTAGTGAATAATTTCAACTATGAAACGAAAGAATAAAAGGATGCTCTAATGCTCTGGAACAGGTAATTCGTTCTGACGGAATGTACACCAACATCTCTTTTACAAGATCGAAAGCCAGGCGCTTGTAAAGGTCAGAATTAGAAAACCAGTAGTCACCAAGAGGTTTCAGAACTCTCCTAACGTAACGAGACTCTGAAGAAGCAGGAGACCAATCTAACCGACCATGGCGGAAATATCGTCGTCGACGGGACACCTTTGTCATACATTTTGGGAGAGTCCCTAGTAAACGTTCCATCATAGCTAGGTGCTCAAGGTTATCATGTGTCATGAATAAACATTGTCCTGTCACCAATTCATACAAAATACATCCTATAGACCATACATCAGCAGATCGATCCCATCCAAGCTCCATAACAACTTCAGGAGCACGATAGTGCCGTGTCTGTATGGTAGTCGAGTGGTGATCTTCATCGAAAGTGGCTGATCCGAAGTCTATAAGCTTTATGGATGGATTACGGATTCGCCGTACTGTTCTGCCACGATGGTTGACATAAACTTCGTCGTAAGTACCATCAACAAATAAAATATTCTCAGGTTTTAAATCTGTGTGTGTGAGCTTATTTCGATGCAAAAAGGCAACAGCCTCACACAACTGTCGGATAATTATTGCACATTGTTCAATGGTGTACGGTTCGTACTCATTCTTTTCAAGAAATGTAAAAACACTTGGACCAAGTAGAGGAAATACAATATAGAAGTGTTCATGCCATTCGAAGAAATCTATAGATGATATGCAATGGGATCGATCTTTGGCATCTAATCTTGCAATAGTTTCTAAAACATTAACCTCGTGACGCGCAGCATCACTATAATCACTCTGAGGTTTAAGAGCCTTGACAGCAGTCAACGAATTTGTGTACAAGTCAAAACATTCAAAAACTTGCCCATAGCTACCCTCTCCTAGTATCTTCTCCACTCGAAAGCGTCGCTTGATAGTGTCACCGACCGGTACAATAGCAGATGGTTTGCGTTTGTGATGCTCATGACTAGCTTTCCTTCGTGCTTTTTCATCGCGACGCTTTTCTTCTCTCTTCCGACGTGCTATTTGCTTGTCATCTCTGTCAGGGAGTCTCGGAGAACCAGGAAATTGCCCATTATGTAAGTGAACGCGCATTGAATGCCCATCATGGATTTCGATACTTGGACTACGCTGCCGTTCTCGCTTAGTTGGATGGTGAGGCGGAGGTTTGGTAGCATGACTAGGAGCGATGCCACTGCAGGAGGAACTGTTAGAACGGTCTCGAGGACGGCCCTTATCACCAGAGATACGTACTGCCTTACATGTGCTCGTTGTATGATTGAAATTAGGAACTGATACATGGGAACTATGATTCCGCCTGAACCAACGGGGATAAAAACAATCACAGACTCAGTGACACGAAAGAAATAAAAACAAGACTATTCAAAATCAAAAGTTTATATGTGTACCTTTTACTACGTTCTGAAACACGACGTCTTTTAGGGTCTGAACAACCATAACCAGAGGATGCTTTTTCGGATGTGCTGGACCGTTTTCGATGACCAGCTGATGAAGAAGAAGTGGAACAAACAGAATCCGATACATATCTAGTTTCTTTGTTTCTAAACAGGGAATTGAAGCAGCAACGATGATTGCTTTTAGAACGCCAACCACGGCTAGTAGTCTCTCCTCGTCTCAAGACCATTATCAATTAGGGCGCACTTCCACTTACTGCCAACAATATGGGTACCGTACTGATGTAAACAAACAGAGTAGAATCCTAAACAGTTAAGACTATAAACTTTTTGAGAACCTTTGAAGCGTATCGGTCATTCTTATTTCAAAAATACAAACCTCACTAGACATTTTTCAAGAAAGGTTTGGGGACAAAGTATAAGATTATATGATTAAAAGAATGAAAGAAGTTTTAGAGAGTGCGATACTATTTTATTTTGAAACAGTAAAGAAATATAAGCCTAATATAGTTATATGAACTAGCGATTTATTCTGAAATATCTCCAAACAACCATCAACAAGCGATTGTGGACGCTCCATCCCATCCCCACACCTAATCTTATCGTCATTTCAAGGTCTGTCAAGTATTCTGGATTCTCGAACTCTGTTATATGCTGATGAAATTAGTGTAAAGAAACTAGTACAAGAACCTTCGGGTATATTGACTGTGCAAGATAGCTTAAATATGACAGATGATTACGCAATCAGGTACTGTCTCCTTAATAATAACAGTATAAAGAGGATGAAGAAGTTAAACAGAAGTGATGCATCTACCTTATACTCCCTGGATGATTCCAGTCTACAATTTACTCTAAGTGGGCTTGAGTGTTACTTTAATTGGTGTCGAGCGTGACGAACGCCAAACATATTGTTTCGTGTTGAAAAAATTATGAATGGATTATCTCCAGGTGGTATGGTTTAGTCCTTAGTTCAGTTCCCTTTTAAGCTGTTTTCCTGTAAATCGTATAATGAACCCAGTCTCAGTGACTGAGTATTTCTTATCGACTGCATATCGATGAAAATAAATACCTAGGGAATCAGACGAAGTGATACTCAAGCCCACTTAGAGTAAATTGTTGACTGGAATCATCCAGGGAGTATAAGGTAGATGCATCACTTCTGTTTAACTTCTTCATCCTCTTTATACTGTTATTATTAAGGAGACAGTACCTGATTGCGTAATCATCTGTCATATTAAAGCTATCTTGCACAGTCAATATACCCGAAGGTTCTTGTACTAGTTTCTTTACACTAATTTCATCAGCATATAACAGAGTTCGAGAATCCAGAATACTTGACAGACCTTGAAATGACGATAAGATTAGGTGTGGGGATGGGATGGAGCGTCCACAATCGCTTGATGATGGTTGCCCCGAACCGTTTCGGTATAAAGTAAACCTCACTTTTAATGTGTAGATTCGTAGTCGAATTTTGATCTCATTGATCACTTAGCAACCACTCAGCTAATAAATATCGTATATTTGTAGTGAACGGGAACAAACGCGGGGAAAATCGAGTGTATTTGAACACAATATTACAAAATCTTATAGTAAAACCTGAGAACCTTAAAGTGAATACTTCGTTTGCAAATTATCAGTTAAGCGTGCTAGACTTCATTGTTCTTTCGTTTCCAAGCCAGTCATTTCTTGTTTTCGTTCTCTTTTCTTTGATCTTCTCAACCTTCTGCCTTCAGGTATTTCACTTTTGATTGACGATACGCACTACTTACATCTATCGACATCAGTAGCACACAGCACATACCAATCTGAAATTTGGAGTTAATGACAAATAACGGCACTGCTGACGTTCCAACTAGAGCCTTGTTTCAAAAAGCACAGAAGCCTGCGAAAACTAAAAACCATTTACTACAAAAAGTCTAAAGATAGTGATTTGAATACTTACTATTTCACTTATTTGACATACACTGAGCTAATAATAGCAACAGAGAGAGCTTTTACAAGCTGTTTAACCGTCGAAAACGTGTATCATTTTAAGTAGATCCAGTAGCCGAACATCGTAGCTTGCCCCAGCAACTCATTACAAAAAACTCGTATCCAGAATATATACCTCTCTTTTACCAGTAAAAGTGTTGCATGATGCCATCTGATCAACGGTATTTTTGAAATTTGATTAATGTGATAGCGTATGTCATTGAAAATTCGGGAAAGTGTGGTTCAAATTTAGGCCATTATTGCTTACAAATCACGATACCAACAGATACAGCTACAATTCACGCTGACACAACGTGTGTAGCAGAATTTGATGACAATTAGCAGGGGATTCAAAACATTGTCAACCGGAAATATTACGTGTACTATTATACAAAGAGAAGAAAACTGTATTTATAGTTCGGCCGCAATAACACGTAAGAAGATATCAGGAAGGTTGTAATTTGTTCTTGGAGTATGCTATACAATTATAAAACGTAGTTCTGAAGAGATAACTATGTTTTTAAAAATATGAGTTTTCACGTTGTTGGTACTGAGGACTATAAATTTACAATCTCTACTGACATTTATGGATTTTCTTTTGGTTATAAGTTTTATCAAGGTTGTATCGTACCATAATATTTCAATTATTTGAATTGTATTATGAACTAGGAAACCCAGAATTAATGCGATTGAATTAAGAAGTGAGACACAAGCACAAGCGAATGTATTGTATTTGGAATTCGAAATAGAGCATTCAACAAGTACCAAAGAATCATTAGTTAATTCAAACACCACATCCGCCACAGCTTAATTAGGAGTATAAGTGTCTGTAATCGGTTGTACGTCTTCTTGTTAAGTTCATCCTGAGTTTGTCCGACATTGTATAATATAAAAACTTTGTACTATCTGGAATTGTATACACTCAGCATATCGATTTTGTACCGAAATCATTAATATCTAGAATTAGAACCATAGATTTTTCAACACTATCCTCCCCCACGAAATAATGTTGGATCTTTATATCCCCAAGTTATGAATAATGTGGCTTCATTTAAAACATATTTCTCACATTGTTTAGAGTAAACAATAGAACTGTTTTTGTGATAAGGGTAAACAGCAGTTGATATGAAATCATCCGAAATGTAATCAAACTCGAGGTCACTTAGTACTCGTGCTTCGCATTGAGCAGGCTTTTCATTAGGATCAAATGCATTATGAAGATAGGTAATATATGATATCACATCAGGATTTGATTCTTCTGAAATATTCTTCAGAAATTCATTAGGACTGTCATTGCAGAGCGTAGGATCGTTAGAAAAATCAGCATCTATCCAAACCACATCAGGTTTTCGATCATGATTAGGTTCATTTAACATATTTTCCTCAGAATTGCAAGTAATTTCATTAGAAATATGTGAATCATTAGGAAAAGTCGTACCTGGTACAATAGCATGAGAATTCTGATAAATCGGTTGATTAGGAACTGTTGTCTCACAAGAATTCTGGATTTCATTTAACTCTGAACTGCCATATGACTCTACACTGTCTTTTGAAATCGTTGATAAAGATAATGTTACGTCCAAGTTTTGCTCGTTCCAGTTATTGAAGTACGGACTATCCATCTACTTGCAAATTACGAACCCAAATTAACAACAGAACCAAGTTGCAATTTAGATACCAAATTTATTCGTAATTCACAAATAATCGACCAAATGTCGTTCTAACAACAATAATTATAACAATTACAAAACAAACCTTCAATTTTGTAGGTTCCCGGAGCAAAACTCCCAAATACCAAACCAAAGACAAACCAAAATGTTTGAAATAATGATATAAACAAACAAGTTCAAAAGTTAAGTAAAACAATTACATCCAAAAAACACAGTAAATTATTAATGTACAATAAAAGGTTTTAATCCGCCAAACGTCTTCAGTTCTCCCGTAACACTCCCGACCAAAAGAACCTTGGTTCTTTTCACAGACAAATAAATAGACATCAAGAATCCAAGTATATGCATCACAAACAATCAACAACAAACACTCAATATACCAACAATCTCGTGATCCCTAGGACTTACACCAGTACTTCTAGGGATCCGAGTAGCTACCTAATATCTACAACTTCTAGACGCAGTTTTCTAATATCTCTTGCCAAGATCCCTTCGCTTGTCCGCAACTCTATCGGTCTTAACCTATCACCATTTGGTGTCACTTTCCTTACCAGACCTAATAACCATTTGGCTTTCTCTAAAAAACCCAGTACATGTTGTCACCAAGTTACTCTTTCCTATGTTCGGCTCTGGTTGAGTCCATTTGTGTCTAAGTTGCAACAATGAAACATATTCCTTAGACAAACGTTTCCAAAATATTTGCGCCAACATAAACAACCGCAATATCAACCATACAACAAAATGCTTCATCCTCCATAGAAGCTCATATACGCTAACGTAAACATGGATATATAAACACATATAGAGGACCAATCCATTAATTCCTTTATTTACCGCGAACTCTCTATTCTGATTCCAAATCGTAACATTGGACCCTTCTAGTTCTTTTAAAAAATGAATAACCATAACACATGGCTTCAGGCACCATTGCATATTCACACACAAACAACTACTTGAGTCCGCAGAACATAAAGCCCTTCTCCCAATCTTGACATCATCAATGTCAAACTTGACCCCTCTGGATGCAAAGTCTGCTATGCTTTCTTTAGAAGGTACGAATCTCCATTGGTCCACCTTAGTAAGACTGTGAATAGTCGAAATTCGATTTGCTATGAATGTTTTAAACTGGCTTTTCTCATTTCTAATATAGTGTAAGACAATCATGGAATCCTTCCAAAAATTAACCTCTGCAAACTTAATATCTAATTCTGACTGCAGCTGGTATCCCATGCGAGCTGCTAAAACTGCTTCCGTAAGTTCCAAGCGCGGTATAGTTTGGACTTTCAAGGGGGCTACTCTTGCCTTAGCCGTAACAAGACGAGAACATATTTCAGTGTCAGAAATGTAAGAGCGAACGTATGCTACTGCACCATATGCAGTTTCCGATGCATCACTGAAAATATGAAGTTCCAGGAGCGAACGATCTGATTGCAGAAACAATACACAACGTGGAAAACTAACGTTCTCAACACTCTGAAATCCATTTAAAATCTCTAACCAACGTTTGCTTTCCTCATTTGGAATCTCTTCGTCCCATCCTAGTCCCAATTTACCTAAACGTTGACGTAACTGCTTCATGGGGAGTACAAACGTTGCTACCAATCCCAGAGGATCGTAAAGTGAGGCTACACTTGACAATATACTTCGCCTAGTGAGGGGGCGTTTCGGTATGTGAACTTTAAATTCAAACGAATCAACCATAGTATTCCAAAATAATCCCAACGTGCGTTCCGTAGGAAGTCTTTTAAAGTCAATCTCTTTTACGGCTTCTGGTCTCTCTTCTGGATGAATTGATTCGAGAACTTGTAAACAGTTACTTATCCACTTGGTAAGTCTGAACCCACCTTTTCTGAGGAGAGAACCAAGGGCCTTTGCCAGCTCAATCGCATCCTGTACATTATTAATGGAGGCTAAATAGTCGTCGACATAGAAACTCTTATCTACGACATCCTGGATATCTTCATTAAATTCCTTACCGAATATATCTGCCGTCTTCTTAAGAGCGAAATTAGCGCAAAAGGGGGAGGATACGGCTCCAAACGGATGAACTGTTAAACAATTTTCCTTAGCCGTTCGTCGTATATCACCGTCTCCCCACCACAATAGACGAAATGCTCCCCTGTGTTGTCTCGAAATCATTACTTGAAGAAACATCTCTTTGATATCAGCAGCTAATGCTACGTTACCTAATCTGAATCGTAGAAGTACATCAATTAAACTATTTACAGTATTCGGTCCTCTCAAAAGCTGGTCATTAAGAGAACAACCTTGATAGACAGCCGCACAATCAAAAACAATTTTCCAGGCTTTTTAGGGTTGATAACAGAATGATGAGGAATATACCAACAAACAGCATCATAGTCAAATCCCTCTTCACTAGCTTCAGTGATGTAGCCTTTACTTAAATGTTTATTCATCACAACTTGATTTTTCTCCAAAAGATTGTTATCTTTCATAAATCTCTTCCTTAAGCATTCTAGTCTGCGTTCAGCTAGTTCCAAATTATTCGGTAGCCTTGGCTTATCATACTTCCATGGTAGACCAACTTGGAAATGACCACCCTCCAATCTAAACGAATTGCTAACTATTTCTAGAGCCTTTTTATCTTCGACAGAATATCCATTACGAAACGTATCTGTATCCTCGAACTCATGATTATATAGTCTTTCTAAATCTCGCAAAATATCATTAGTTGAACAATG